GTACCAGCACATCCCACGAATGCTCGATCAGTTTGGGATCTGGGGAATATGGGGGCCAGGTTGATGCCTTGAGCTCTTTGTATTGTTTCTCAAGCCATTCCTGAGCAGTGTTTGTAGTGTGGCATGTTGCAATTTCCTGCTGGGGGCATGGCACCATTGGGGGCTGCTGTTGCCATGAAGCGGCATATTTGGTCTGCTACAGTGTTTGGGTGGGTGATGCATGTCAAGTGGCATCTACATGAATGCCAGGCCCAAGCTTTCGCAGCAGAACATTGCATTGTAACAAGATGATCAATGTTATTCACTTTATGAAGTGAGTGGTTTTGATGTTGTGGCTGATCTGCATGTATCTAAGTGAATACGTGGATGGCGTTTAGTTACAAGAGGTAGTTAGAGAATTTTTTTTAATTTGATTGGATCACAAGTGTAGCTGTTTACCCACCTCCCTAAGATCAGAAGAAAGATGATAAAAGTGGAATCAGTAAATTAAAGACACAACAGACAGCATTTTTGCCTATATATATCTCATTATGAAAATAATATGGGTTGCAAGGGTAGTATACACAGTAAAATCAGACTATCAGCGTTTCCATAGGTTACTTAGTGGCTTTGCAATCTTTGTAATAAGCTTCTGCCACCGCGGAATTTTCGCGGAAAAAAATCTGCTTTACGGCAGGAAATGCGTCATGTATTGCCAAACTGGTCGGTCAGCCAATCAGGGACTGGTGCTGGTCCTTATGAGGAACTGTCCGGGGCATGAGATAATTGAGTCAGGAGCACAATGGCAGACGGACAAAGTTTGGAGACAAGTGAAAAACGGCCTCCCAAAAGAAAATGAGGTAATCTGTCTGAGGAGGCGAGGATGCACAAGAAGGAGTGTGACAAAAGAAGAGGAAAAACAAGAGTAAACCTTAGTCAGGCGTTCAAGAGATGGAGGGAGCTCCATGATCAAAGAGGCTTCAACACCAATGTCCAGCTAGCTTTCTTTCTAATGGATCAGTAAGTAACATGGCTAAATGTTAGCTAGCCAAGAGAGGACTGTACTGTACTGGCTGCTAGTTCATTCCTAGCTGGCCAGCATCACAAATCGCCGTAACCAGGGACCGGGTAGCGAGTGTTGGTCAGCTGACATCCTCGTTGACGCCCCCCCCCCCCGCCGCAGCTACTGGGCCTCTCCGACCGGGAGAAGTGGAGTAAAATCCTCTCCTCCACTCCCATTTGTCTGGTAAACGCCTCTCCTCTGTCAATACACTCTGCCAGCAGTTTAATAATATTGATGCCAGTTGTAACATTTGAATGTTTTAGTAGTAAGCCATGTTCTAAGCGGGATAATGTATAGTGAGCCGGTGACTGTTGAAAAATAACTCCGCTGTGCCTCAGGGTTCCATTCCCCTGTCAGGAGTTATTTTTCAACAGTCACCAGCTCACTATACATTATCCCTTATGTGTCCACTGTTGTTTGTACTGATACTGTGCATATTGGTATCATTTACTGTGAGTTGTTTGTACTGGTACTGTGTATTCTGGTATAATTATTTGCATTACTATTTGTTTTTTCTTCAGATAAATCTGATAATTGTTGCTTTGTCTCTTTACTTATTAATTCAGTATAGTGTCCACACACCTTCTCATTCTGCATATACATAGAGGTATACTGGTGGCTTTACAGCCTACATTTTATTGATTATCTCAGATCCCCACGGTCAATTTGGTCTTTGCGACAGTGGGAGCAACACTGCTGACGCTAGGTAGCGCCAAGCTAAAAAAAATCCAAATTCTATCTGTTGCCTCTTTAACTCATAATTATTCTTTTCCAGAAATGTGAAACAACCAACAACCCTGCAAGCCAACAGGAAAGTGTGGTTTTATGTGATTGACAGGGTTTGGTTCGCTCACACCGGATCACACTTAATTGGGTAAATTTGTGTGTATGCCTCCACAGTAAAGATGAGTGATCAAGAACAATCTAATATACAGACAGACAGATACTAATGTAAAAAAAAATTCAATAGGTATACATCAATGACAGTAACAGGAAACTGTACAATTAACACAGTTGACACAATTAACACAAGAACCTGAAAATCTGTTTTTCATTTCACTGCCTGAAGTCACTTACATTAGTGCTGTTTTATCCTCCAAGTTTATCTAACTTGTTGCTGCTTTACATCGTAGTTAAAATTGGCATAACTGTAAATCCATAGCTTGTTAACTCCAATGACATTACATTAGTCCACTATTGTAGTAATTAACACTTGTCACATGATGGCATTTTATAATTAGGGTTAAAGAGAGGAGACAGATGTAGGATTGAAATGCAGGGCATAGAGGAGACAGAGAAACTTGGAGAAAGTAAAGAAAGTGTAGCTGTGTCAAGAGTCAAGCAAAATACAAAGAAAACTGTTGATAGTTTTCATTTTTACAGTGTAACATAAATTCAACATAATGAAAAACACAAGCAACATTTAAAGGAATACCTCACCCCCAAAATCATCATTTGTATATCAATTACTCACCCTGTATTGTGTAAAATATATACAAGAAAACTTTTTTCTTCCATGCTTTGATGTTGACCGAAGAATCCAAAAACAATGAACATTCTTGATGAATTGGAGTACATGGGGGCCGCATCAAAACATCTGTTTACAAACTCTCACACAGCTCACGCAGTATAACCCAAGTCTCATTTATCCAGTCGTATGCTCAGTGCTTCCCAAACACATTTTTTGTCAAAACAGTAATATATAAAACACTTCCACATCCAAGTCGTACATCTGGGCAAGTGCCTGCATTTCAACTCTGCTCATGCATTATTGAATTGCCCAGGCACGGTACTTGTTCGTTTATGTTTGCTGTTTTTGCAAAAGTGTTTTAAATAGTAAGGTTTTAGCCTAAATGGATATGTTTGGAAAGTACTGAGCTTATGAGACGTGGATTATACTGCACGAGTTGTGTGAGAGTTTGTAAACAGATGTTTTGCGACAGTTTTGCTGTTGTTAAACTTGGATCCCTATGACTTAAATTTATCAAGAGTGTTTGCCCTTTCTGGAGTCTGCATTCACTATGGAGGCATGTGAGAAAAACAACCTTTTCTCCTTGTATTCAACATAAATTAAGGTGAGTTACTGAATATAAAAATGATCATTTGGGGGGTGATTTGCTCCTTAAATTATTGTTTTGTTATGCTGTCAGAGCTTTGTCTATGCCAGTAATGCAAAGACAGCTGTATAAGTGTCTGTTCTATCAGCAACACTCTCATCATAGATTTAACCATTTATTGCAACAAATGGAAATACAGTTATGTTTGGCGCCAAGGGCTCCCCTCTTGACGTGATGCCTGGATTAGACAAGCAGCATGCTATGCCAAAACAGGGAGCGCAATGCAGAAAACCCCCTGGGTATACATGAGTGGGCTCAAGCAAAACATTAAATACCATTTAACCTTAGAGCCATGCTAGGACTCTGAATTAGGATGGTAGAGGCTAGGGTGGTGGAGGTAAAGCTTTGCCAGCAGCAGCGGTGTGTGGCAGCATTGTTGTAACAGAGATCAGTGAGTAGGAAGCCATATTTAAATGGATCACCTTATGTGGGAATGGGCTGTGATTGGTGTGTGACTGAAAAGAAACAATGATCCAATCAACTGGCTGTCAGCTGATTACAGCTGGGGTGTATGACTTCCGTGTCCTGCATGAACTAACACAAAGCTTCATGTAGTTTCAGTCATGATCAGTTGAGAAACACAAAACTCAGATTTTTCACCAATAAGTTAAACTGTTTAGCTTAATATCAGACAGACTTATCAACTCTGTTTCCATCTTCAATCTGACACTGAGTCCACTTAATGCGATGTCCTTGGGAGACCGGGATTTGATTTTCCCTAGCCAATCAGAAACCATCGTACTGTATCTGCCTAAATCTAACGTCATTCAAGTCCACACTGATATATAGCCATGCCAACATACCTGATTCGACGGGGTTCTAAGAGTAGAACAGAAGGAAGAAATACAAACGACAATGTCAGGCGATATTGAGAAGATATGTTGATTTAAAACAGCCTCTGTAGCAGTGTCTATCTTGTCCATAGCACCCAATGTTAGTGTTACAAGCCCACTCCTCATTGGTTCTGGTGAACCGCTTGACAACACTTGACAGTGGCATTAGTCCCGCCCTTTGTGCTGATTGACTAATCGAGTCCCTCCATGAAACTCACTGGTCGTTGCTTTTTTATTGCAGCTGAGAAACCGCTGTTCAATGTCACGATGCCAGACATATCAGTCAACTTGAATTCAGTGGAATGGGCATATTCAAAGACCTGGACTCAAGCAACAAGCCGTTCATTTGACATATGATTTGGCTTCAACAGATCCACATCCATCAGTTGTGTTATTCTGTTATAGTCCAAACATTGATTTATAATAAAGGCCTCATGGATTTTTTTTATGAGACATTAAGACGGATCTTTCCAACCACAGCAGCTGAGGTGAGGTAGAGTTGACCCATCTTTTATTTACAACTATGGCCCTGATTACAAGTACATGTAAACAACCGAGAGCCTGTGGAGGACAAACAACATCTCGAGTGATTTTGCATACTCTGTGTCACGACAGGTCAATTTTTAAATGTGACCGTATCAGGACAAGGCATGCAGGAACAGCGTGCTCCCCTCGGCCTGAATGTCAAAAAACAGACTGTTGCCTTCCTATCACTAGCAGGAATAGTGGTCATACAGTGGATGAATTACCATCCCCTCCGTGCTCCAGCTCCACTTTAATAAGCGCTGGATTGTTCACAAAAATGGGGAGGAAAAAACAGAGAGGGTGAAAAGATAGAAATCCATTTGTAAGTCTGGTGCTGTGACTATTTGCATGGCGATGAAGGCCCTGAGTGTTCTGCAGTGTCTCAGACAATAGCGCCTGTGTTTGTTCTTCCCCGGGAAGTTTGAGAAGGGCAGAAACGGGGAGAGAAGCAGAAGAAAAGGGGAGGTCGTCAGAGCAGGGATTACGCATTGTGAGAACCACGCGCGCTCGCTTCTGCTATTGTGGTGACTGAATTGCTTTCCAGTACCAGGGCATTTAGTTAAGCAGATTGTGTTTCTTTACACCCCTGCGATGATCTCTCTTGACGGCGGTTGGTGACAAGTGGCTTGGGGACGGCAGCATCACACAAACAGGTGGGTGTGGTGGTGGACGCTTTACATCCTGTAAGAGATCATGTTTTGTCAGAAGATAGTCAGGTGCACATTTTTTACATTATCCAGGAAAGTATGTATAGAGGAATTTAAGGGGTAAAGAGGCTTTCAACATAAAAGCAGCAGCAGGGAAGCTGAAATCTATGATAACTGAAGAAGTCCAGGCGGTTCTTTGTGTTTGTCCCAGTGAGAAATCAGTAAATTCCTTGCATCTTTTTTGAGATGGCTGCACCTTCTGAAATAACTGACAATAATGTTCAAAATTGTTTAAGAAATTACTTTAAAGAGGATTTAATTAAGTGTACCAACGTGATTTTTTTGGAGTTGACAATGTGAGGCCTCTGTACTGCTAATCTAACTATCTAATCTTTTCATCCCACATTGAGTAAACGACCTCTGTGTTCTGGCTTATAGTATGTAGCAACAAAACACGAGGCTTCACTGCATTCCACCTTTGGAAATCGAGTGAAAACATTTAATTCAGAGATTATTCAACTTGAGGTTAAATTAAATAATTATTAAACAGTTTCCATGACCTTTCTTTAAAGTGGGAATTTCAAACGTGTATCCTGTGAAATAACTTGTCAGTATTTTTGCTACATTTTTTCAAGGACAGTAAACGCAGATGCACAAATACTATGTTTGTAACTGCAAAACATCCCGTTTGAAGGGAGAACCTTGGGAACTTAACATGATGTGAAATTGCAGCATGTTTCCAGCCATAGGCCCTTAAGGCCAGTTCAGACCAAAGATTCCAGATGCAACAAAACTGTTTTAGGACATTGCAGAGAAAAGTTGCAGTGGTCTGAATGACTCAGTTGCATATCGGCTCAGGTCGGCTCCTGCAGTTGCAAGGGATTCAACCTGTTCAATCGCAGGCAATGCGTCGCAGATCGTCTCCAACCTTGTAACCAATCAGCAGCAAGCTCATGCTTTTTTTTTGTACAGCTGGGTGCCCACGTATGCGTGAGCTGTTGCACACACACAGTAATAGTAGTAGTAGTAGTAATAGCTGTCACAGTCAGACATTTCAAAGACAATGCTATACAATGCAAATAAAAGGTAACGTTAGGGTATCTAACCACAGACAGTCACGTACAAGAAGAGTTGAGTGCTCTGCTGATGCATCCATGTGCTTTCTGGGGTTTGTTGTGCTGTTCAGCTTTATGTTACACTGTAACGTACCCTTTGCTGTAGAAATGACAGTGGTTTACGGTGCAAATGGGTGCACGTAGTTGCAAGTCATTGCAAGGGGAATCTTTGGTCTGAAAGCTACTTTACACTGAATACAGTACTCTTGATAATGAAGTGTAGCATTTATTATATTATATATAATATTTAAATATATTAGCAGAAATGGAATATAATATAATAAGTATGTTTTCTTTAGTATATAGACCCTTTTAGGGCTGACGTCACAATGACGTCATTTTATTAGCTGAAGGCAAAACAGGACTCATCACCACAGGACTGTAGGCTACACAGGAGTCTTTATATGTTGTCTTGTTGTGTTATTGGGTGCCAGAATAGAAGGAGTCAAAACTTAAATTTTATCACATACTAGCTGCCACTGCTTGTCAACAAAAACAAAGACAACTATGGTTAAATATGATAAGATCAAAGGACTGGATGGAGGCAATCATCAAAAATGCTCACATGTGCAGCACACACTTCATATCAGGTTAAGGAAAAGTATTTACTGTTGTAGGGATGAATAATGTATATGTATTATGTGGGTTATCATGTCCACCTCATCAGAAACTGGGGAGATATTAAGATGAATATTGGATTTCCTTGTAGCGATGAATTAACAAATGGTTAAGTTAATCACACATTCACTCCTTTCCGCGCTCTGCTGCCCCATCTCCACAGACAGAGGGTGCTCTGCCACTCCGAGGGGGCGGTGCTCTGGATGACAGTGCTCCAAATTTATGAACAGTTTAGTTTGTGCCAGAGTGTGCTCCGGCACTAGGAATGAGTATTTCTGAACACACCACTCAAATCATCTTCCCCCATTGTCTAAAATAAGTCCACAGAACTTGATAGCTAGCGCTAGCTAATGTCTGTGGAGAATAGTTTTGCATCCAGTTAAGCCTGGCCCACCAAAAAACATCATAATGTTAACTAACAGTGAAAGGGTCTGTAATCACCTGAAAATGAGAATCATTATGTATTTGTTACGTTAGAATGAGCCGTTTTTATCTACACTTGGAGCGGGTCCTCGTCTACAGAGATCACCATGTTACACCACCATGCTTGTACAGTAGCCCAGAATAAACAAACTTAACACTGGCTCTGGACAGTGTTAAGTAATGACTGTCATTAAAACTAATGAAATATGAAATTAAGGGCTAGCGGCCTGTCTGTGACGTGCCAACCAGTGGTGGAGAAATACGGATTTGCAACATGAAACTGCTTAAGTCAGCTTCTTCACCGGTTTAAATCATCTGAGGGGAGTTGTTCAGAATGGATCAGAATGTTCCGAATTTGGAAATCCCATGTTTTGTTACCAAGAATCAGTTAATCAATCTCACTGTTGTGCTGGTTTTTTTGAGCCAACATTGGATTGGATCACCCTGATCTGATCACCTGAAATAATTCTTGTTTGATATTGGGGGATTATTTTATGGGAACAGCACCCCCTTTTTTTTACATTAGTGTAATGCAAGGTTTAATAGGTAGCTTAATGCCTACTTTATCTATTTCATCACAGCAACTGTTTAACAAATCAAGTACAAAATGTTAAAAAAATATTTAAGTATAAAGGTTTTGAACAACACATACTGAGGGTTTGAGCCAGATCACAGCTAGAACTGGATAACACAATCTAATCTGATTTCAGAATTGTTCTTTTTATTCTGAACAACCCATTTTCAAGATCCAATCCGATAGCTGAAATCCCTGTGGATAATTCAGCTCCTGTTAAAAACCTCCTGAACAATCAGCACTGAAGGAACACTAACCAAAAGAGGTTTTAGCTGCAATCCTCACCACTACATGCACTTAAATCCACCTAAATCCACACTGTTCCTTTAAAATGAGTGAAGATGTTTATCTGCTGTCTGAATGTTGCCCATGTCTCATATTCCTTGAAACTTGATGTACTTTGTCACAAACTTCTTTTTTTATCACCATAATTAAGTCTACAAGATAACTGCCTGTAGTTTAAATTCACCGCCCTCTTTTTTCTTAGCATCAGTTAATTGTTTTTGATGAAAAAGAAAGAAATAATAGGGTGAAGTCCTATCACTGATAAATATCAGAGGAAATTCGTGACACTTTGCTAAGCAGTAATGATTTTCACTTGTGCACGTAATAAAATCAAACAAATTACTTACTAGCGAGTACATGATGGCTTGACATTCCCTGTTGCTGCAGCTCGGTCTCTGGACTCATTTGAGGCCCTGATTTAGGAAACATAAACTCATGTCAGTGTTATTGTTTTACGGAGCTGAACAGTAAACAACAGGTCCCATGATAGGCTCCCAAATGACCAATTAGGGACATATTGTCTTGGAAGGGTGATCTTAAAGAGGCAAGGCTTAACAGATGGATTTGTCTCCAAGATTGTAAATGGAGTCTATATTTAAATCTGCTGTCACGTTTTTGGCTTAAACATTTTCATATTTTTCCATAATGCATGAAAAACTACATGCTCATATGAAGCTAGCATTACTTAGTTAGCGTCTGTGGTGCATATTGATATTGATGTGTCATCCACAATGTCAAGTAGGAGCTTCTTTTTCTTTATTGCTGCGTTTAAACATCTTTAACGGCATCCAGGAACCATTTCTACAACAGAGCAACATTTTATTAGCGAGAACACATCACCATATAGGAAAATAATGTGATGGTCTCAGCGCATCTGGTGCTTAACATTGTGAGACTGCAGCTCATTGTCATTCTGTCATGTGGTAGAGTAGTGTACTGTACATACAGGCTACAGGAGGTCTGCTGGAAATGGGAGGAAGGCCTATTAGAGGTAATGAATGGCTGTCAACCACAGGGCACTCTGCATGTACTGCATGTCATGTAGAAATGAGAATTTCTTTTGAAAGGAGAAAATTGACCTGAGAGTTCAATGGTGTTTTTAGATATTTTTAGTTTCTCTTGACTTTTCCCAGAACATATGCACCTGTGAATGATAGCTGAGAGATTTGTATTATTAAAAGCAAAATGTGGATTTATTTGATATTTTCAAAATCAGTGGCAAGGTCACAATTATTATCAAGCACTATCAAGATAGCTGTCACACATGGACATGTGTTTTACTTGCTCCCTAATACCTTTGCTATTTACAGACCTGGAGCTGGGAGGGGTTTTTTTTTGGCATACCCATTATTTTCCCAGAATTTCATCACTTATTTCTAGAAAAGCCCATCTTGTTAAATTGGCACCTAAACATCTGTTGACCTGTGCACTATTCCAGCCACATCAGTAAAGCCTGATACCCTCGGGAAGGATTTTTAAGCAGACTCCTTGGCATGTTGGCAGTTGCTCTGAGTAACATCATTGAGGGGCTGTTGTCTAGTTTTTTGGCTCAAGGCGTTCAGTTTGGGCGCGTGCTTGGCAGCCCTATGAAAGGCCATAACGGCTCACGATTCACTGGCTACTAATTGGACTGTCACTCCACAATGCTCGGAGATATGAATACGTGCCCGTAAAGGCATACATAAGCACAAACACACACTCTCATTCGCATTCTGTATCGAAATTGAATTTCAGATATGAAAGCCTGCATCAGTAATTGATTTTACCAGCTCATTACAAATGGATCTTGACAGCTAATTTACTTTTACAAGATTAAACATGAACATTATGAGCTGTTAAAGCATTAATACCGCAACTACTCTAACTGCTGAAACAACGTCCTGCCGTATACTCTATATTCTAAATTTCCACCGGGGCCACCCATGCTAAAAATGCATGCACTTGTGTTCCTGTGCAGCACTTTGGATTAAAGTGTCCACATAGTGGGACTCTATACGTTATGTGCTGATATTACAGTGTCAAAAAACTCTATTAAAATGGTTTAGAATTATGGCTGTTGTGGCTTCTAGCCCTTAATAACATCTGATCCCACTGAGTGCTGATGTATGGTTTGCTGCTTGACTGGAGAGCAGTAAAGTTGGGTTCAGGGGTTCATGTCTAGACAATAATTTGTGTTGCTTCTCAAAGCAAACAACTACAAGACAAAAGTCTAATATGATAGGAAGGAAAGTGAAAGAACATCCATAGTTTCATGGTAAACACACCTACGCTGCAGACACACACACACACACACACACACACACACACACACAAAATTCACAGGGAGAACTGCTAATTTACTAAGAAGAGAAGGCATTGACAGCAAAGGTCAGCCTCTGTAACATAAGACGACAAAGATGAGGTATTTTTATCCCTTTGACAACGACATGTTGACAGTGGGTGGTTATTGTTACTAATGGAGAGAAAATGAAAAAAAATACACCACAGTTAATCCGTGTATATGAAGGGAACTGATGAAATCGTCAAAGTTAAACTCTTATAACTTTGGCAGGGTTGTCAGAGCAAGATATTGTATTTGTGTGGCCCTGACTAATTTGCTGTCTTGTTTGACTTTCATTGTCCTTACACTCTTGACCCTGATGCACATTATAATTGGCGCATCGATTCGACTCATAGTTTGTCAGAGGCATGTGTGTCTCTGTTTTCTATGTCTGGGGAGACATTGATCTAATTAGAAGTCTTCATTAGTCAGCTGCAGAGTGCAGTGTCATGCTTAAGGAATGATGTTCAGGCCCTGCTCCCCCCGTGAAACACAATACAGGGCCTTGTCTGCATTCAAAACAGAGGGCTGTTTTCAGACGCCTGTGCAGGATGCAAGACAAAAAGGAGAAAAAAAAGAGGAGGGCTTGGACAAAGGGTTTGTCTTTCTCTTGTAAAATGCAATTATGGCTCTGGCTTTCTTGCTTGAATTTGTTATAAATCTGAGTTGTTGCTGTGCATTAGATTTGACATAACTCATAGAGCTCATATACAACAGTGGTTCCCATCAATCCCCCACAGCTCTGCCAGATGACCTCAAGTAGCCTACCCCTCTATCGACCCCACCAATAATGTTGAATTGATTTTAAGCTGGGTTTTATTTAACACTATTAATTATATAATAGAGGATGTTGTTTGCTTACAATAATACTTTTTAACGATTCAACGCTGAATATTTAGGAGGCTTGGCAAAGTTTGTATTTCTATTAACGCCACTAGCAGTGGCTGAAGCTGCAACCATTTATGTATTACATTTAGCTAATATTAACTCTTTCAACCATTAAGTTTAGCTAGCATTAACTGTTTCAACCACTTATTAATTAGTTTATCCAGCTAACATTAAAGCATTTACCCAAGCTAATATTGAGTACTTCAAACATTTATCCATTTGTTTATCCAGCTATCATTAAACCTTTTTGCCATTAAGTTTAGCTAACGTTAACTATTTCAAACATTTGTTCATTAGTTTATATAGCTAATGTCAAACCATTTATCCATTAAATTTAATTCTACAAAAAAATCTTTCAACCATTAATCCATTAAGTTATCTAGCTAACGTTAAACCATTTACCCAAGCTAATATCAAGTACTTCAAACATTTATCCATTTAATTTAACTTTACAAAAACTCTTTCAACCATTTATCTATTAGGTTATCTAGCAAATGTTAAACCATTTACCCATTACATTAAGCTAATTTTAAGTATGTCAACCATTTATTCATTAGTTTATCTAGCTAACACTCAGCCATTTATCCACTCAATTCAGCTAACATTAACCATTTCAATCATTTATCCATTAAATTTTAGCTTACATAAACTCTTTCAACCATGTATCCATTAGATTTAGCTAACATAGACTATTTGACACTTTATCCATTACATTTAGCTGATATAAACTATTTCAACCACTTATCCATTTATTTATCTTGCTAACGTTAAACCATTTACGCATTACATTACGATAATATTAAATATTTCAATAATTTATCCATTAGGATAAAGGCAATGTAGCCTACAATTAATGTTCTTTAATGGTCTCATAATGTCAACTTTATGTATCAAACTACATAGTATCAACTTAAAGATGTAAGACTAGGGCCCTGTCACCACATGTCACACAACAACATGGTGGATCTGTTACAATTAAGTTCTAAAAACATCACATTTGTATGTAGCCAACACATTTTCGGAATTCACCATACAGATTTTATTTAAATTCCACAGTTGATTTTTGAGTATTTTCATCACCTTTTTACAACCATTAAGCACTTAACATTAAGTAAGGATGAGAACTGTGATACAGTGGTACATTGTATTTTTGTCATTCTATAACTTTACTGCAGTGTTGAAGAAAAGTTTCTGTGAGGACTGGTTATTTTGCATCCATTACGTTGTCAAAACTTCATCTGTTGGTAATATTGCGACTTTCCTACTAAAGTGCAACGTGGGCATTTTGTAATGTGATGGGGTTAACTATTTCAACCATTGATCCAATTAACCCACTACTTTATCTATTAATTTATTATTTTTAGCTACCTTCAACCATTTTTCTAATAGGCTACTTTATCAACACCTGATCCCTTAGCCGACTTAGCTAACAATTGTAATTATTTATCCCAAACTCATTTACTTCACACTTGCTGACCAGTTTACACACTCTGAATTACAGCACACAGTGTTTGCCATTACAGCTAACTCTGTTTTTTGTTATTATCAAATCATGATGTCTATTTTTATTCCAATGCGTTAAAGTGCTTTATAATCTTTATACCTACCAGTTAAGCAACTGCAGAAATGGTCCCTGAGGGCACCTGGTTGGGGATCACTTATATAAAAGACCGTCATCTTTTATATTTACAGCAAAATACATTTAAGTTAGATTTGCTTTTCAAACATAAAGAGTCCACTTCTAAGATAGATATACAGAGCCTTTAAATACTGAACACTTGATCATGGATTTTACACAACACTGCTATAGATTTCAGTCCCCGTGCACTGCTGGAAATTTATTTTCACCGCAGCCATTAATTAAATTGTGAATTTTTATTTCAGAGACATGAACATGCATACAAACCACATCATAACGAGATGGGATACAGCATTACCGGGATCATGAGCTGTGCTGCTGAATGAAGAATTGGTAACACTGGGCCAGTGAAACCTCCATCCTCCATCCACTAACCATGAGAAGTGCAGAGGAAATGCACGGATGGACAGTAAAAATGAGCATGCTGAGTGTTTTGGCCATGGTTACGGTCTTTTCTATGTTTCCTGGCGGGGTGCTGAGCGATATGAGAGGTACTCAGGGTCTGGAAGCCCAACAGTTGGCCCAAGGGTCCACTCATCTGCACCGTCGCCTGAAGAGAGGCTGGATCTGGAAACAGCTGTTTGTCCCGGAGGAAGATCCCACTCCTCGCGTTATTGGCCAGGTACCACTTCAGATTGAATGTCCTCCATGTCCTTGATACACTACTTCCCTTTGAAAATACATGTTTTTTGGTTACCTCGAAAAGAACTGTTTAAAAAACATCAAGCCTTTATATACCCCCTCCTCTTTTTTTTTTTTTGTTTTTTTTAGCTCAAATCCGACTATGACCGAGGCGAGTTTTCCATCAAGTACATATTATCAGGAGAAGGAGCTGGAGATTTGTTTGAGATAGATGAGTATTCAGGTGAGATCCGGACACTGAAGAAGCTTGATCGAGAGGAAAAGGCCTTCTACGTCCTTCAAGCTCAGGCTATCAACAGGAGAACCAATGAACCAGAGGAACCCCAGTCCGAGTTCATCATCAAGGTGCAGGACATCAATGACAATGTCCCGCAGTTCCAGAACGAACCATATGTGTCCAGCATCCCTGAGATGTGTCCAATCGGTATGTATGAAAGACAGGGAGGAAATTATAACGAAAGAGTTTAAAGTGCCAGCAGGCAGGATGAAATTTAAAGGGTCCTTTCACCAGAATTCCAAAATACAGTACAGTATTTAGCCATGCAGGTAGTTTGGTTCTATGTGCACAGGTTGTGAGATACAGTATGTCTCTGAGATTAACTCAGTACAGCGACTGTAAAAGGAATGTCATTTCTGATGCTCAAAATCCTGAAACCTAAAATTTAAAAATTTATCAGCATCATCTGTCTCCAAAATCTGTGCCCCTGTTACTCAGTCCTCACTCACTGTAAACAGTTTTTGGAAGTACACTGTACCAAATAAATAGTCCTTGTATAAACAGTTCAGGTCTGTGGATTACTCAGAAAATGTTGCTGATGATTTTTTAAGAGAGCAACTTATGCTCAGACTGAAATACCATTTTCTTGATAAGTTAGATTTAGTTAAAATCTTTTTCTTAGATTTATGAGCGAACCCTCCAAAATTTTCGAGATTTAAATACAGGAAGCATCTTGGAGGTGGCATTGTAAACAAAGGCTTTCCCAAATATTACAAAAATTTAAGTTAGTGTGTTCAATCCTTTTTTCCCTGCGCCATTCCACTTTATTGCAGTCAATTTTTATGGAGTCAAATGTTAGTTTCTTAATCAATGTAATTTTATTGACATCTGGTCTAAATTTTGTGCGAATATCTGCTTTGGAAATACATATAATGACAAAAATTCGACGTTTAGAATACTTATTTCCTATTCCATTTGCATGTGTTTCTACATATGTTTTATACAGTGTCCCAACTTTATAGGAATCGGGATTGTCAAAATGTGTAGCTTATACATTGACTAAAAAAATGTTTTAACACTTTTCAAACTGTGTGCGTTGTACTTCTTGACCTAGTGTCTTTTCCCTTAAATTTTGCCAAACCTCAACAGAAGTTGATAGTCGTGAGTCTCTCTAGTTAGGCTTCCTATTGATTTCAAATCCAAAAAAGGAAGGAGGGCATCTAGGAGGGCATTAGAAAATTCAATAGAGCATGGACCTATTTGTTTGTTTTCACCACCCACACTGCAAAGCTGAAACACCAAATAATCATAAATAGCTCACTGCAGAGTAGCCACCTTTTGCTAGAACAGATTAATGAATGCTTATTTTGTAATGCTGGTAGGCTCATTTAGACTTAATGGGCTGTGTGTGTGTACCTTCATTATGAGGCTCAATATGTTATGTGGCTTCAGACAATTTTTGGGAGGGATCAAAACTCTTGCTGTTTACCTTGTAAACATTTTTGTTGGATGGATCTTTCAACATTTCGGGAGATACACTTGTTACTTTTCTTGCCAAGAGTTAGACAAGAAGATACCACTCTCATGTCTTCATGGTAAATATATGGCTGAAACCAGTAGACCATTTAATGCCTGGTTTTGGTAAGTTTTGCTCATGGAATTATTCAAGATTCAAATGTGTCGCTATATTATTCGAACAAACAAGTGATTGCTTAGTAATAAACTTATCATTTTCTTTTGAGCTAATAAAAAGTTGGAAATGGCTTTATTATTTCTAAGGATATACTTTTAAAATGAATTCTCTTGAGTTAAATCTTGACTGAAGACAATGAACAAAAGGTTATATGAATGTCTGTCATCTGTCCCCATTCAGGAAGTTAAAAGTATTGGATTCCAAATCGTAGCTTGGATGCCTTTATGGATAAATGTCTTAAATAATGTTATTATAACCACTGCCCTTTTATACCACAAACATTACCATTTCAATTTATATGTAATCTGCTTTTGCAGCGTAATATCTCACTCGTAATAAATCATAATGCATTTGACTCGGAAAGAGAGGGCGAGAGAGGGGAAAGTTGGAGTGCGGGTGACTGAAAATAAGAAATGCTGCCTGTAGGGAAAAAACCGAGGGCTTTCTGGGGGGAAAAAGAATGAGACACACAAGAGGAATGAGGGAGAGGATATGGTCACTGGAGAAAAGGGTAGTAAGTGTGAAAGATAGAGAGCTGAAACTGAATCAGAGTGCGTTGGAGAGAAAACAAGCAGCAGGTGGATGGTGAGAGAGATGTCGCTATAGGGCTGGAGAGGTTGTCACACACACCTGCACAGCCTTACTGAGTTGTGAAAGGCCAACGCTGCTCCCCCACTGCCTCCTCCCCAACCCTCGTCCCTTTGTCAACATCCCTCCTCTAACCCTACCTCAACCCCCCCCCCCCCCCCCCCCCCCCCCCCCCCCCCCCCCCCCCCCCCCCCCCCCCCCCCCCTTCTTCCATTTCCACTGCTCCCCCCCTGAGCCAGACAGACAGACCCTGCGGGACTGTGGCATAATCACTTTATTTCCCTGTCGACTGGAACTGCTGCCTGAGCTAACTCTGACTGTGTGATCTGCTTCCCCCCCACAGGGACCACTGTGGCCCAGGTGACAGCCACAGATGCTGACGATCCCATGTTCGGAAACAACGCCAAGCTCATCTACTCCATCCTGCAGGGGGAGCCCTACTTCTCTGTGGAGCCAAAGACGGGTACAGATACAGAGGCTTTGAAGTCAGAACTCTACCATCATAATCAGTGGAGGCTGCACAAATCTCTCAACATCCACAGTTTGGGCTATTAGGGAGGCGCACTAGAGATTTGGCTTTGCAGAAATAATGTTTAACTTTTATAACAAGTGGGTTTAAAAAAATACAGAAGGGCAGAGATGTTTCCAATCTCACTGCTGAGACTGAAAACTGTTTTGTCTTTGGCTCGCTCCCTCTGGTCCAAGTCACTTTTGACAAGTCATACACTACTTATCACTTTGAAAATTGTATAAATTCCCCTGGCAACTTTCTATCTAAAAACAACTGTTAACAGATATAGTGACTTTTTAAGACCATTGGGAAAAATGTGAGTGTTTACACCCCTGACAAGAAATTGGTTCAACCGATGCCAATGCATGTACTTTTACACTTTTTATTGGTGTGATACAGAGGTCAGCTGTAGCGCTTCCCACACACATTGTTGACCTGAACTGTAAAGAGTTGGGGGAGGGCAATATTGACGTAAGAAAAATGTGTTTAAATGCAAATGAATGCAGTGTTTAAAAGGGCAAATCTGACTCTTTTTTGGGAACCAATTGTTAGTTTTATTGAGGAGTGGGCAGCAGTTGATAAAAGTTGAAGCTTTGCTTATGGCTTCAGTTAACCTGTAAGGATAAGCCAAGATAATTTACATTTTCCTTATTGTCAACAAATCCCATGAAAAGACCAAAAGCAGCAGCAAATGATCTCACACACAAGTATTGTCTCTGTTGCCAGAGTCTGAAATATCTTATTCCACTGTGTCATAGAGCCCCATTGTGTCCAAAACCTATTTAGAAATCATCAATGAGCCACACTGTTGCACTGCAGTCACATGTTCCTTCATTGCAAAGAACATGGGCACTTAACAGTCCTGATAAACACACACATTAAACCAAATATAATATAAATAATCCACCACTGAAAATAGTCCCCAATAAATGGTTGATACTACTCCTGTTTGTGTAACATTTGTTAAAAACTAGATGTTCAAAGAAATTATTTAGATAGATAGATAGATAGATAGATAGATAGCATACAAAAACACAGATACACATAGGGATAAAGAATATAAGTGTGAGAATAAAATAATAAGAATAGAAACACAAAGCAATGAAATGATAGTCTAGTCCTAGGACTTCTACATAGAGCTGTTACTACAGACACGCTTATTATGGTCTTGCAAACTGACAGTGCAGGTACTGAAATGTATGGTGATTAAATTTAAGTGTAAGAGCAGCGCAGGAGTAATGAATACTTTGCTATGGATGATAAATATAAAGTTGAAGATAAATATATGTACAGATACTAATGCAAATACAGATTTTTTAGAAGGTGCTTCTAAGTAAAAACTGTATTACATAAGGAATGCTGGAAATATGAAATGTAAAATGCACAGAAGATTAAACATGAAATGCTAACATAAGGTGATTATCTAAATAAATAAATTAAAATGCAAATAGGATGTAAATATCTGAAGAAATGCAAATTGCCCAAGGCTAACATAACCACTAACTGACAGACAGTCCAGCAGCCTAAAGAAAGAAGATACAGTTGGTACTTAGGGGAGCACCTACAAAACGTCACAGTCCTTTTACATCAAGGGTGGAAACAAAGCATTCGCTACCAGTGGCGTAATTAGGCCTGGGCATCTGGGGCCTCAGCCCTGAATGTTTTATGAATAGCCTTAGAAGTATAGAGGCTGTATGTATGTATTTCAAAAATAAGAATAGGCTTTATAATTAAAAAAGCTCTGGATATAATAATGTTTCATTCCATTCATGCTTTCAAGTCCTCAAAGATAATAGGATATTGTTGACCAAAAATGCGAATTTTGGGTTTTCTCTTTCATTTTTTTCATTTTGTATAATCGCCTGTACTGCAAGAGAGAGAGAGCGCACTGGTAATCACTTGAATGTTGCTGCCGGTATAGGTGGAGCCTATGTACTGCTAGCTAGTTTAATATATCACAATACATCACCATTTTTCAGTGGATTATATTTTGTATTATTATTAAGTTTTCAAAGTAACTAGCATAAAATGGAAACTCTGAAGCACAAGCACCTTGAAATTGTCTAAATTTTAATGATAGCAGTTGCAAAGAATTATTTTTCAACTCAGTACTAATAACTAACAACTACCAATATTTTAACAACAACCAAAAAAACACACACACTATATTAGATGCCCGAGAGCATTCACAAAGCATCACAATAGGGGTTGTTCATCAAAAAATGTTCAGATGTAGCTCTCAACATTTACTACCATGCTGAAGGGTTGCTGTGTGGCCTTCTGCATGTCAAATAAACTTAAAAATCCTAAGTTAAAGGGTAATTTTCCAAACTGGACTCTATATTCCCATGTTTTAATGTCTAAGGGTCTAATGGGAACAACATTTTTTGAAACTGGTCCAGTTTTAAGTTAGAGCAACTGCTGCAGTGTAAACACACAGGGCAAGTTTGCACTGTCAGTGCACATCCACTCAAAGTGTTTGTTTTTAGACTTAGATTTACTTTATTCGTCCCAGAGGGAAATTCATTTCCACTAACTGTACATTTACAGAGATCGATCACAAATATCACAGACATCACAAAACATCACAAAACATCACATTTACACATTTACACACACATTTACAGAGGTGGACACTTTGAGTCAACGGGATCTCTTGTTCAGCGCAGCTATGGCTGCTGGGATCAGGCTCTTCCCGAGTCAAGCTTTCCTAAATTTAAGTGTTCGGTACCTGCGCCCTGAGAGTAATGGGATGAGGTATTGGTTGAGTGTGTGTGTGTGGTGTCCCGTTCTATTGATTTTGCAAAGCGTGTAATGGACCTGTTATTTAACTCTGTGAGGTTGGGTGTGGGAAGACCAATGATTTTGGAAGCGGTGTGTGTGATGCATGTGAGTTTGGCCCGATTGGTGACAGAAAGCATGGTGAAGAAACATGTGGAACAGTACAGAAGGATTGGTTGAATGATGCTTTGGTACAGAAGCAGCAGTAGATGGGGGCCAACATAGAGTCCTTTGAGTTTTCGGATAGCTGATAGTCTTTGTTGGCTCCTTTTTTGTATGTCTCTGGTGTGCTGATCGAAATTGAGTTTATTGTCCAGAGTTATGCCCAAGTATTTAAAACTGTCCACTGTTTCAACTGTTTGATTGTCAATGGGGTGCTGAGGTGAGGTGGGGATGATCATTATTTCTTTGGTTTTATTGACGTTGATGTGAAGATAGTAGTCCATACACCACTGAGTGAAATGTGTGACTGTGTTGTGATAATCCAGAGCAGAGAGATTGTCAGAGAGAAGTGCAAGAATGGCCATGTCGTCTGAATATTTCAGATAGGTTGTGGTAGGTGATGGGCTTATGCAGTCATTGTTGTAGAGAGTATACAGGAAAGAGCTCAGCACACATCCCTGTGGAGCTCCGTTGTTGATTGTGAGTACAGGGGATGTTACCGAGCCCAACCTCACTGCTTGCAGTCTGTCAGTGAGGAAGTTGTGGATGAGATGGATCAGACAGGGGGAATGTTGAGATGGTGCAGTTTCCGGATCAACAGGTGTTTCTGGATCGTATTGAAGGTGGAACTGAAGTCCACTGACAGGCTGAGATTGTTCTTCTAAGTGTCTGACAACATTATGGAAAGGTTTCCTACAGAGACAGACCTTTTTTTAAAGTTGGAAATAACCAGAAACGGCCTCAAAATCGCTATCATTAAACCACCAGACTCCTTTTAAATGAACAGCACTTTTTTCATTGTAAAACAAACTTCATTCAAAATGGACAGAAACAAAATAAAACTCACAAAAACCATGTTGGTTCAACTTTCCACTGTTCCAACAATTACCAGCTCTGGTTTGGTTGAAATAAAGCATTAATTCAACAAGTTAGATCTGAAAATATGCTGGCTCTATACATGCTAAAATTACTGTTTATTCAAATATATTCTGGTGGGTTTGGCGATGGAGACTAAAAGGATCTAACGCTTTATCCAAACAGTGTTGGTTAGCCACTGGTAAAAAGGTTGTGAGTATCCGATGACCTGTAATTTTCGAGGCTGCAAATCCCCATGTGGTGACATTAAGCATTGATGGATTATAAAGCGGGCCACTGGCCACAGACCCAAGGGCCCAAAGTGTCAAATTAACATGTACCAACCATGAAGAGACATAAAAAGACCAAAATGAAATGCAAAGGAACTGCAAAGAGACACAAAATAACTACAAACAGGGGCTAAATAGCAACAAAAAGACACAAAACAACCACGAAAGAGGAGGCAAACCCCCACAAAGTCTGTCCGTCTTGCTCCTTTGTAGGAGAGGTGTTGGGGCCTTTTGGATATCTGTGCTCAGGGGCCCAGTGTCTCATAATCCGCCCATGATGATATAGCACATGGTCAAAACATAGGCTAATGGCTAATGGTGTTGAGTAACGTCAGTGCTGCTTAACTGTCTCATAACATGCTGGTTGATTACATCATAGTGTAATGGCTGTAGGGTACTGATATTATGGTAAGGTTAATTAATCATATCTATAGTTAATGTAATAGTGTCTATTATGTGAGTTTAAAAGCTGGGCTCTGCCATCATTTACAGGCTGGAGGAAATGACTGTGTTTCCCTTCTTTGACCCATCCCCTCTTAAAACTATGACAACTGTATCTATATATTTGCAGTGTTGGAGGAAGAAGTAAAAGTTCTAATAAAACAAGTAAAACTCCTGCATTGAAAATGTTACATATATACAGTACAGGCCAAAAGTTTGGACACACCTTCTCATTCAATGCGTTTTCTTTATTTTCATGACTATTTACATTGTAGATTCTCACTGAAGGCATCAAAACTATGAATGAACACATGTGGAGTTATGTACTTAACAAAAAAAGGTGAAATAACTGAAAACATGTTTTATATTCTAGTTTCTTCAAAATAGCCACCCTTTGCTCTGATTACTGCTTTGCACACTCTTGGCATTCTCTCCATGAGCTTCAAGAGGTAGTCACCTGAAATGGTTTCCACTTCACAGGTGTGCCTTATCAGGGTTAATTAGTGGAATTTCTTGCTTTATCAATGGGGTTGGGACCATCAGTTGTGTTGTGCAGAAGTCAGGTTAATACACAGCCGACAGCCCTATTGGACAACTGTTAAAATTCATATTATGGCAAGAACCAATCAGCTAACTAAAGAAAAACCAGTGGCCATCATTACTTTAAGAAATGAAGGTCAGTCAGTCCAGAAAATTGCAAAAACTTTAAATGTGTCCCCAAGTGGAGTCGCAAAAACCATCAAGCGCTACAACAAAACTGGCACACATGAGGACCGACCCAGGAAAGGAAGACCAAGAGTCACCTCTGCTTCTGAGGATAAGTTCATCCGAGTCACCAGCCTCAGAAATCGCAAGTTAACAGCAGCTCAGATCAGAGACCAGATGAATGCCACACAGAGTTCTAGCAGCAGACCCATCTCTAGAACAACTGTTAAGAGGAGACTGCGCCAATCAGGCCTTCATGGTCAAATAGCTGCTAGGAAACCACTGCTAAGGAGAGGCAACAAGCAGAAGAGATTTGTTTGGGCCAAGAAACACAAGGAATGGACATTAGACCAGTGGAAATCTGTGCTTTGGTCTGATGAGTCCAAATTTGAGATCTTTGGTTCCAACCGCCGTGTCTTTGTGAGACGCAGAAAAGGTGAACGGATGGATTCCACATGCCTGGTTCCCACTGTGAAGCATGGAGGAGGAGGTGTGATGGTGTGGGGGTGTTTTGCTGGTGACACTGTTGGGGATTTATTCAAAATTGAAGGCACACTGAACCAGCATGGCTACCACAGCATCCTGCAGCGACATGCCATCCCATCCGGTTTGCATTTAGTTGGACGATCATTTATTTTTCAACAGGACAATGACCCCAAACACACCTCCAGGCTGTGTAAGGGCTATTTGACCAAGAAGGAGAGTGATGGAGTGCTGCGGCAGATGACCTGGCCTCCACAGTCACCGGACCTGAACCCAATCGAGATGGTTTGGGGTGAGCTGGACCGCAGAGTGAAGGCAAAGGTGCCAACAAGTGCTAAACACCTCTGGGAACTCCTTCAAGACTGTTGGAAAACCATTTCAGGTGACTACCTCTTGAAGCTCATGGAGAGAATGCCAAGAGTGTGCAAAGCAGTAATCAGAGCAAAGGGTGGCTATTTTGAAGAAACTAGAATATAAAATATGTTTTCAGTTATTTCACCTTTTTTTGTTAAGTACATAACTCCACATGTGTTCATTCATAGTTTTGATGCCTTCAGTGAGAATCTACAATGTAAATAGTCATGAAAATAAAGAAAACGCATTGAATGAGAAGGTGTGTCCAAACTTTTGGCCTGTACTGTATATATATAGATATATATATATATATAGATATATATATATTTAAATGAGAATAATCAGGAAAATGTACTAAAATTATTAAAAGTAAAAGTACCCAAAGTAGAGAATTTCATCAAAAAAGCTGCCAAAATGTTCTGTCATCAAATAGATTATTAATCAACCAATCATTTTAGCTGTACTTGTATAAACTGTTGGATAGTAAAACATCATTTTTTATAAACTCAACTCATTTTTTTATGCAAAAGGGTCTTAATTTATAAAGTAACTAGCGGTTAAAGTTGTCAGATAAATGTAGTGAATTAAAAAGTCTAATATTTCCCTCACTCTGTAAGAGTATAAAAGAAAAGATTCAAATAAAGTACAAGTACCTCAAATTTGTACTTAAGTACAGTACTTGAGTAAATGTTCTTAGATTCATTCCGCCAGTGTATACCCTTGGCCTCTTTATGGACTGGAGACTGACAGACTGACAAATTGTTAATTTTGGTCTTTACGAGGGAAAGAATAAAGAAAAACATCTGCTGCATCCTTGAAAAATAAAAAAGCTTTTTTTTTTTTTGACACTGCTACCTGGCCAGGTGGCTAAGTCAGATGCGTTCACAATACAACAGTTGACTGACTCGATATTGCAGATGTTGAATGGCTGCTGAAAAGGTAATGTCAAGTAAACCCAAGATTAGATTAATGGTTGAAAAGATGACTTCTGATTTGAAAATAGCATTTAAATATGCCAGGTCAATCTAGTCCTCTTGATTGAAATTGTTTTTCTGTTTAGCGTCGCCCACAGCCTTCACTTTGGCCAGACAGAGGAAGCATTAGTCATCTTAAAGCCCTCGTGATATTTCTGTGTATTGATAAAATATGCAGACTTCACATTAATTGTGGTGCCGTTTGACTGCAAGCGCTCTGGTAGACTACTTGAAGTGCTTGTAAACAAACAGAAGCCACCCACAGATGCACTTGATGCCGTCTTATTGAGCCTCTTGTATACCTCCTCTCTGTCTTTCTCCCCCACCTGCAGGGATCATTGTAACATCTTGGCCAAACATGGACCGAGAGGCCAGAGAGCAGTACCTGGTGGTGGTGCAGGTGAAGGATATGCTGGGCCTCAGCGGTGGTTACTCCTCCTCCACCACCGTCACCGTCAGCCTGACTGATGTGAACGACAATGGGCCCACATTCCAACACCGTGAGTCACTTATATGAGTCACAGTGATGCAAACACCAGGCCATACACACTGTGGGAATCAATGAAAGAAGCACAAAGCGGGGCAGACTTCGAGGACATGTTTAATATTATACCTAAGAGGCATTTATTTGATCACACTTCTCCTGTTCGGGTGGGTGGTTCGTGCTGCCGCTGGCGCTGCATTCGGCTATGCGCATCCTGTTATTCAGCCGGCAGCCAAAATTAAAAGGAGACAGTCGAAGAATGAGATGGAGAGAGTGAATGAGACAGGGAAGGAGATGGGGATGTTCATCTGCGTGTGCACGTGTACATGCGTCGCCCACTGGACGGATTTAATCATTCACACATGAAAGGACATTTGTCATGACCTTTAGAAACAAACCTAGCCCTTCTCAGCGATAAACCTCGCTAAATGAATGCCCTGGGAAGAAATCAATTCTGTAGAAATGAGAGAGCAAGGATGATACCTTTAACTATTAATGTCACATTCACATTCATTGCCAGAGCTACTGTATCCTACGGATTCCATGTTGAGTCAGAAGGCCTTATAAATATTGTATGACCACACTTCACTTTGAACTGTGCCCTCTGTTTTGTAACATAATTGGTAATTATTATCAGCAGGGATTTTTTTTCCAGGAGCAGCTGGTTGCTGTTGAGTTCCTCCCAGTTGTGGCAGCCATCCAAATGGAGTCACTCAAAGACACAATCACATTTTCTCATCTTCTTATTAGAGTTAGGCTGGGATTATGTGCAGTTGCCACAACTTATCTGTGACTCACACAAATTGACCCTCCACCACAATGTTCTCCCTCCTTATCACTTTAGCAGACTCTCTTGACTAGCTATTAACAACACTCCTGTGGGCTGTATTTTAGCGGAGAAACTTTTTTATTTGTTGTTTTTCTCCAAACGTGAGTTATCATAACACGCAGCAAAAGTACCAATCATCCAGATTTTGTATTCCTTTTGATATCCTATTCCAACATTCTGCAGCTAATGGTGTCAACAAGAAGGATTTTTTTCCTTTTGTTTCCTCAGACCTGTACACCTTTGCCGTGCCTGAAAATGCAGCTGTAGGCACCACAGTGGGCAGAATTATGGCACAGGATGGAGACATTGGTGTCAATGCCAGGATGAGCTACAATTTGGAGGATGACCTGGAGGAAAGCACCACGTTTCTCATCAAAACAGACCCAGTGACGCAGGAGGGAGTGGTTGTGCTCGCCAAGGTGAATACATGTACCAGACATATCTCTTTGTGTAGAATATACTGAACAAAAATTTAAATGTAGCACTTTGGTTTTTGCTTTCATTTTTCACAGGTTTAAGAGCTAAGACTTTTTTATGCACTCCAAAGATATATTTCTCTTCTCACTTCTCATATTTTGGCTGCAAATTTGTTAAAATTAGTGTCTGTCAGCACTTCTCCTTTCCCAAGAAAATCCATCCACCTGACAGGTATGGCATATCATTTCTACATAGATGTGCCTTGGGATGGTCACAGTAAAAGGCCACTCTAAAATGTGCAGTTTGATCACATAGCACAATGCCACCGATGCCACAAGTTTTAAAGGAGGTGAGCCATCAGTATGCTGACTGCAGGAATGTCCAACAGATCTTTATTTCACTATCATAAGATGTCTCCAATGTCATTTCCCTGAATTTGGCAGTACATCCAACCGGCCTCACAACCTCACAGGTCAGTTACAATAACAAATTGCTGTCAGGTCAAGACATCAGCTGTTCAGGTGGCTGATCTCAGACGATTTTGCAGGCAAAGACACTGGATGTGGAGGTTCTGAGCTGGTGTGGTTACAGTGGTCTGCAGTTCTGAGGATGGTTGGATGTACTGCCAAAGTCACATAACAACAGCTTTTGGTTGCTCATGGGCAACAACAACAGCTCTGGTTGACATTCCAGCAAAAGACACATTTTAGTGGCCTTTTATTGTGACTTGTGAGGCTGGTTGGATGTACTGCCAAATTCAGGGAAATGACAATTGCACGCTCCCTCAAAACTCGCGACATCTGTGGCATTGTGCTGTGTGATCAAACTGCACATTTTAGAATGGCCTTTTACTGTGACCATCCCAAGGCACATCTGTGTAGTAATTATGCTGTTTATTGGCATCTTGATATGCCACACCTGTCAGGTTGATGGATTTTCTTGGGAAAGAAAAGTGCTCACTAACACTGATTTTAACAAATTTGCAACCAAAATTTAAGGGAAATATGTCTATTGAGTGCCTTAAAAAATTTAAGATCTTTATGTTATACCTGAGAAAAATGGGGGCAAAAACAAAACTGTTGCATTTAATTTTTTGTTCAGTATATGTTCATTTTGGTCTGATGTTTAAAAAGCAGAAGTGTAACCAGAAATCATAGTGTGGGTGGGCACAGAGGTCATTAGGCTCTGAAACATTATTTTTACAAAAACTCCTTTTTTAATCTCCGGCATTGAGGATTTAATTAACATTACAGACACCAACGCAATCAAAATTTAAAAGATCATTACACCTGATAAAGGGGAAGGCAACATATCCTGGCACTGTGCGCAGACACAGACAGCTGGCAGAGACAACAGCAGCAGCAGGAGCATCAAAGCCGACCAGACGCAACAGTGTAACAGCCTGGCACAGGGACCCAACAATCACACAGTCTCACACCTGGCAGCAGCAGCACGAGTCCTTTACAGGTCATGAACATATAGCAACAGTCTGGACCCATATGCACAATAAACTATCAGCCACAACATAGAAACAGAGAATGTAAACATGTTACTTTGATGATTGCACATCAGCGCATCCAGTTGGCACATTGGAGGAGTTATCAGTGTACAGTTTGTTGGGTTTGGGGACGAGGGTTGCAGCTGGGAAACTGGAAAACAGAAGGAAACAATTCTATGTGACGAAAAAAAATCCACATACCAGCACCTCTAAAGCTCACTCATTAACACACTCATGGTAGCCATTAGGAATTATGAAGGCTGGGGCAGAACTTTCCAAAGTGAGCCCCTCATCCACACCCACTCTAATACTACCACCACCCACCGATCCTTAACTTTAATACCAACATGGGCAGTTTCAAATAAGCTCTTGGCCTCTAAAAATATCACTAAAATCCAGTGTTATGTAAGTTGGTTATTACAAAACACAGAAAAAATGTGGTTCAAAAAAGTCTGTGGCAGTTATATTCCTCTTTTTACCTCTAAACAAGACAAAAGGAGAAAACAATGCCCTCCGGTTAATAATCAAAGAAAATTAAAATCAAACTTAATAAACTGAAGAAATCACTACAAAGCATCGAATCATAAGATCAAATCATGCGTGAACAAATACACCTAAATCTATCTATCACTGCTTCCAAATCCACAGTTTAAAATGTGTTAATTTATGCTTTTCAAAGACTACTTAGGGACCCCAGTATGCAGAAATATTCAAATACACGCTAACACCCTGCTTAAAAAAAAAAAAAAAAGACAGAAAAAGAAAGTGACAAATGACAAGTTGTGATTTTATGGGCCGTTATGTTCCCTACTGATTCTTACTGTGGGCGGTTACTTTCTAAGGTTTCTGCAAGTTGCCTGGAAAGACAGGACTACAGAAGATGGTGGAAGAGGTATTACCTTGTATATTGTAACACTTAAATAAAAAGCCTAGTCCCAGTTAAACACCCAGTCCCTTTTAGTAGCCTGGTGTGGCTACACATTTTGACATATAAAGGCCTGTCTCAATGAGACGCCTAGTCTGGTTGCCAAGCAGTTCTTTTTTCTTTTCTTTTTTGTTATTGAAGTTCTTCCGTTACTATTTCTTCAGTCTTCAGGTCCTCAGATCAAAATAATCAAAAGGGTTTTTCATAAACATTAATCCAAGTTGTGAATATTGTTTTAACAGGATAAAGTGGTGTTGTATCAGTATGCCAGGTGCTATAATCCCCGAGTGTCATAACTCTCTCTATCTCTGATGCGCTGTCTGTCAGAGCCAGATCAAATGAATAATTCATAATTGATATATTATCTGAAGCCTTTTTATACAAGTAATATTCATACTGTTTTAAACAAACAATTTGATTGTATTTCCTGATCTTTGCTGAGCAACAGTTTTATGTGAAAGGAATTAAAGGCCTGTCCCATATAGACGCCTGTCCCAAATGTAGGCCTGGTTGATTTCAGTGATTTAAGCAAAAATAGCCTGGGCTACTAACTGAAGTTTTACAGTAAATACCTGTAGTATTGTTACCTTTGAGTAAAAGAAGCAATACTACAGTGTGGAAATACGCATAAGCAAGTAAAAGTACAAAAGTATCAACATCAAAATATACCTACAGTGCCAAAAGTCAATCATTATGCTGAATGGGCCATTTCAGACTTTTACATATTTTGTGATGTAGTGGTAGTATGGTGTAGTGGTTAGAGTACTCGTCTTCCATGTGGACGGTCTGGGGTTAGAAACCAACCAACTGGTCCAGCACAGACAGGTCCAGATTTCTCCTTAGTCATTAGTTCGAGGTCCACACAGTATATTACATTTAGCGTCATACTTGTGTTTGGCCATGTCATCGAGCTAGTTTGCTGTCTCTGTCAAATAGCTGTCCATTAGTAACTTACCCAACAGCAGGAAACGGCACTTTAAAAATGTACTGCACTTAAAAATAAAGTGTGTTTTTACAAACTTGATGCTTTTGCAAGTTGCTTTTAGTCCATTCAGAATGGACACGTGACCCACTTTGGGAGCGCGACTCACCAGTTGGGAACCACTGCCATATGGGTTATTACAAAAATCACATACATATTCAACAAGCTCAACTGCTCTAGCTCTAATTTAATAAGTAATCAACCTTCTACTGCTCCTGAAAGCAGCGGCTCTCTCTGTCAACTTTACCCTTCTCGCTTAGTTAGTTTGCTTGTCACCATCTGTTTATGGAAATACACATGTTCTGCCTGTGTAGTTCCTACTTGATGCATGTCCACAAACTGTATGATAGTCCTACCATTCTGAGGTGAATGGTAAAAGAGCAAAGTGATCTTGCCCGAATAACCAATATTGTGTAGCAGGCCACAACAAGTATATTTTAGGAGACAAGCGACGGGCCGTTTAAAATCTGTCCGTGGGCCACAGTTGGCCCCTGAGCGGGGCAATTTGGACATGTCTGCCTTACCACTACCTTCACAGTAGCTTAAAAAATGAGTGCCACAGCCTCTTAAAGACAGTAAAGCCGGCATCCAATTATTTTCGCAAGAGGAGGCCAACATTTTATCAGGGTGGCCATGGCCTCCCCTGGCCACCCTTTGGGGGCGCCACTGCTGGAAAGTCCTCAATATATTAGGTCATCAAATATAGATTGATGCTGGATGATAGATTACTGTTGTTTTCCTCTTGAACTTGTGCTTCATACTGTATGTATTCCCACACACAGTATGCCTCTGTAGCACAGGAGATTTCAATTTAGATGCCGTGATAATGAAATAAAAAACACATTATTGATTTTGTCTCTGAATCATTTTGGGAATGCAGTAATGGTTTGCATGCTGTTTTCTTATTACTGGCATCATAATGTTTCTCAAAAACGCAGCATTATTTAAGTGCGTGCTCACAGCTGGTAGCTTATTGACATTGACTAAACAATTTTAACATCTAGTCTGAGTTGTGTCCTGCTCCCACGGGAATAATCATCTGTCTTAAGTACAAGTTGGCAAAGCAGATTTGAAAAGTTGTTACTCTTTGATGTTTTAGTGATGAACAAGGTGTTATCTGTATTGATATGAATTGTTAAGAGGTATTTCTTTCCTTCACAGCCTTTGGACTTTGAAACTAAAAGACGTTTTGTCATGGCCGCAGAGGCAGTCAACGATCAGGTGGACCTTCGTTTTCTGACTCTGGATGAGTTCAGGGACAGGACGACACTCAAGATTGTTGTGAAGGACGTAGATGAGCCGCCTGTCTTCCTCTCAGCGGTCTACGAGTGGAAAGTTCCTGAAAATGCAGCTGTGGGAACTGTGGTTGGCAGCGTTAGTGCCAGAGACACTGACACAGTCAACAATCCCATCAGGTACAGTAATGTGAACAGTCTAAACTAGGAAGAATGGCATCTGCCACCCAACTGCAAGTATGATAATGACAAGGTAGATACCCAAGCTGGTGGGGGCGGAACGTCCCTAGACAGCTTCCTCCACAGGGTGAAAAATCATTCCATTTCAAATAGTGTTACTGGCTCAGCGCATCCATTTTTACCCTTGATCTCTGGATACCCTGTACATGGTCATATTTATCTCATATTACTTTAGTAGGAAATGAGCCCTGCTGAATAAATCATGACGATTTTTTTATACCTCACAGGCTTTTCTATCTATTGCCGTGGTATTATCACAAAGCAACGTGGCTAGGACGTGGGAATGTAATAAAGCACCATACGAGGTGGCATATGGAATTGAGATTTGCAGTCATTTGCAAGTGGGGCACGTTGCAGAGGAGACAGCAGCAGTACTGGTGCCTGTAGTCCATCTCAGCAGAGCTTAAGAGTGGCAGGTGCTGCATATCATCCTCAGCCTAGCGTCTATTACTGTCCCTTTAGAGACAGTGCCTCATTGATTAATAAATTCAGGCAGGCATTTTAGGGGTTTCCACAGTTCTACTAAACATGATTAAGTTTGCTTTGGTCAAATTGGCTTATTTTCCATGTTATTATCAGCAAAGTGGCTCACAGAAATGAGTCATTACTCAGTGTGTTCTCTCTCCCTGTTACCCTAATTCACTATGGTGTTATAATCACTTATATTAATTAGTGTTAAAGGTTTAGTAGTGTGAAAGACCTGTGTAGTAACAACAATATCTCCTTAATAAACACTTCTGCTTGCTTTGTCTGTGGATGATAAATTTATGTTTTTTATAGTTTATTTGTACATTAAAAAATTGCAGGCCTTAACTTGTCACCCACTATCAGAAAACAAGACACAAGGATGTGTATTTTGTCACCGCAGCTGCACCACCTTTAACTTTGTGTAGACAGACTATAATTCAATTCCAAAAAGACTGAACAAAGTTTCTCTATGTTTACAAGATTCCCTGTCTTGCTGTTTTTAAATGATATTTCCTCACTGAAGACAAATAAAAAAAGGTCCGCGGTCAGGTTTGAAATAATATTCAATTAAAATAACAGGAAAATACACAAAATTGTTTTTATGCTGTCTGTGCGAGATGCTTTGTTTTCAGTGTTGCTGTCTCTATGTCACACCAGCTTGTTGGATATCTGTCAACAGATTTAAAAAAAAAATGAGCAGTTTGCCTAATTAATCTCCCTGTGGTATCACAATGTTTTGTTTGCCCAGGAAACAACCTTGCCTGCTAAATGTGTGTCTCCGTGATTTTTCTTCCAGATATTCAATTGACAAAAGGAGTGATAACTCAAAAGCTTTCAAAATAGACCCAAACAATGGAACTATGACTGTCGCTAGAGCTTTGGATCGAGAGACTGCAAACTGGCACAATGTGACTGTTGAAGCCAGGGAAACAAGTAAGGATGAAACCAACCATAACGCATTTAAACTTATCTCAAACTAGAATATATTCACAGCAATGTGTTGATTACAAATATTTGTCTAGAGCAGTGATTCCCAACCAGACATATCACAGGGGTGATTTGAGTTAGCTGTACCTGAACAACACCTGTTGCAATTGAGAGTTTATGGAAACTAGTAACAAGTTGGTTAAAACAAAGGTAAATGATTGAAATAGCTTAAAGTAATGGATAAATGGTAATAATACTTACAAATATGCTTACAGCCTTACGGCCAGAACACACAGGTGGTGAATGCTGTGTGTCAAAAAAATACCCCCCCTATGATTTTCAGTGTTCAACCCTACACCAGTGGCTGCTAGACCCACGTCAGCACTCCTGGAAGCAACGCCCCAGGGCACTTCACGCCACTGCCTATTTCCAGCCTCACCGCTCCCAGAATTTAATGCATTTTCCCCGACTTTCTCTCTGCTTGTACATAGCAGCTCCTGTAGCAGCTCTTTTTCTCTGCTCCTATGGCAGCTCGACTCCTCTCCTTACAATTGATGCATAAAGAGAACTCTGTAGCTGTTGCTGTGTCTCGTGTGTGACAAAGAATGTACGAGGAGAGACTCGTTGTTGAGGTTGAGAAATATCCCAAGCTTAACCACCCACATCCCGTCATTATAAAAACAATGGCCAAAAAGATACTGCCTGGCAAGTCAGATGAGAAATCAAGTTTAATTAGGGGCTGATTCAGATATGATTTTAAACTAGTGCATAGGTGGAAGAAGTACAGATGTTTTAGTAAAAGTAGTAATATATAGTAGTATATGCATGGTCATGTGTTGACGAGTTGCAGCTCTACGCATCCAGTGTGTGCTAGGGGCCACACTTCACACACATCACGTAACTTGCCGCACCAACGCAGTGCCATTGTGCAAATGCAAACTTGAAAAATCTGCTTAACAATGACAGTTCGATTGTATGATATCATCATTGTGAGACAACCACATTGTGTAAGTAAAAGTGCTCCATAATATCCATTTAAAAATAATGCAACATGGCAAGTGATGTGGATGAAGAGGTACTTCAAACGGTTGGGAACCGCTGGCCTAGGGTTATGCAAAAAGCTACATTTTTCATTTAAGGTTTAGTTTTTCAATGCTTTTTACTGTTTAGTGTTTCTTGGTTTGGAGAAAGCAGTGAAATGTCGATGCCCATGTTTTTTTTTTGCTCCACAGTCGTGTTTCAAGAAGAAGAAACATTTATCAGTCTTAAGTATTATTTTGACAGAGCTTTTACAAAGCATTTATGATACATGCACCCAGTGGACTCCAGAAAATGTCTATCTTCACTACTGCAGCACAGACCCATTTATCCTCCTCTGTGGTGGTGTTCATCAAAGTGCTGGACATAAACGACAATGTGCCAAGGCTTGCAAGAGATTACCAGCCATATATCTGTGAGGGAACACAGGCGGGAGAAGTATGTATATTATGATGCACTGATGTTCATGATTTATCAGCAGTGTGGCAATGAAAAGTGGACAGTAAAAGTTCTGTTATTGCAGCATATTGTATTACATCAGTGTACTATTTTTAATCATTAAATGACTCACAAGGACCCATTAGAATATTGTGCAGTACACTATACCATATTACATCCATTACATTGTCAGCTGCTGAATTAGATTCTGACTTTCTGTCTTTCTGAAAAAGGAAATACAAAAGCTACGTAAATATTTAGAGTTCCAAGGAAATCTGTTGAGTGAATGTGATGCTTGTGTTGCTTATATTTTCTCAGAAATGTGTCCTTTGTGTCTCTCAGCTCATTCAGCTGCTCAGTGCTGTTGATCCAGACGACCCCGTGGAGGGACACCACTTCTACTTCTCTATGGTCTCCGAGAAGCACATCAATCCAAACTTCACTATCAGAGACAATCAAGGTTATATTTAAAACAACAATGGTGGAATAAGCATTCAGAACATATAATAGAGCAAAAGCTGCAATAACCACAGTGTAGAGATACTGAAGAAATACTGCAAAATACTACTATTTATTTTTCTTACGTAAATATACAGAAGTATTAGCATCAAATTATACTTAAATTACTAAAAGTAAACATACTCATTATGCAAAATGGCCCATTGCAAAGTCAGAACAAGGTTAAATACCATATAGGTCTTCACTTACCAATAACTTGTCATGATTTTTGGTGCATACAATAAACATACAATTAGCATTTTAAGAGGAAATGAAATAAACCATCAAGAATATACATAAAGAATATAAAAAAATCAATAATGATATGAAAAAGATACTATAAAAAGTATGACAACATAACAAATATGTACAATATAGCTGTTTTAGAGTGAGAAGCTTTACAGTTCAGAGTATATTCAGAGTTTTATTGGATTGCAATTGTTGATGCATTCTTTTGTAAGCATCATTATGTGGCAGCTAGTCAACTTATCCTTGTACAATGGTTCGTATGAAATCTCTAATTAGCACCCCAAGAATGGCGTCGTCACGTTATGTACTTAACGTAAAGTTACGTAAGTTAGGTTGGGTTTAGACAAACAATCTTTGGGTATCATCATGTTACGTACTTAATGTAAAGTTACAAATATTAGGTACGGCAGGTAAAGTTATGTAGATTGGGTTAAGACAAACAATCATTGGACGTCATCGCGTTATGTACTTAACATAAAGTTACATAGGTTAGGTTTAGGCAGGTAAAGTCATGTAGGTTGGGTTGGATTTAGACAAACAATCATTGGGCATCATCATGTTACGTACTTAATGTAAAGTTACGAATTTTAGGTGTAGGCAAGTAAAGTTATCTAGGTTGAGTTAAGACAAGCAATCGTTGGGCGTCATCATGTTATGTACTAAACGTAAAGTTACGTAGGTTGGGTTTATACAAACAATCATTGGGCATCATCATGTTACGTACTTTATGTAAAGTTATGAATTTAAGGTGTAGGCAAGTCAAGTTATGTAGGTTGGGTTTAGACAAACAATCATTAGGCGTCATCGTGTTACGTAGTAAAGTAAGTAAAGTTGCATAGATTAGGTTTAGGCAAGTTAAGTTACATAGGTTCAGTTGGGCTTAGACAAACAATCGTTGAGCCCAAATGAAAGGAGGCTGGAGCACTTGATAAAATTGCAGAGCTTTTAATAAGGTGCAAACAGACTGATGTTTCGACGCTACTGCGTCTTCTTCAGAGTCAAAAACCTGAAGAAGACGTAGTAGCGTCAAAACGTCAGTCTGTCAATTTTATCGAGTGCTCCAGCCTCCTTTCATTTGGGTTCAGTCATTTTTTGAAGTGGCCCACTTGATGTAGTGTCTATAAAGTTACGTAGGTTGGGTCTAGACAATCGTGCATCATCATGTCACATACTTAATGTAAAGTTCCAAATATTAGGTTTAGGCAAATTAAGTTATATATAGTGTTTCGAAGGTTACTTTTTAAATGTTATAGATTACAGATTACTAGTTACCCTTTTGAAATTGTAATAAGTACTTTAATTGATTCATCAAAATACTGCAACTTATTCAATTTGATTACTTTTTTACTTTTCTGACAAATGTTTGAAACTGGGCAATGAAGCCTTAAAGTCCAGAAAACATAGGTGCATAAATGTTGCACACATATTTTTCCCAACAGCTCTGCTGACGCACATTGTCTGGAAACATGCCAAAAGAAGGCATTCCTTCACAACAAAAAGATGCAGTGCAAGAGAATTAATGTTTTATTCTACACTACTGAAAAAATATTTGGATGTAACCCCTTTGTAATCACCATTATTTTGTTGCGTAACTACATATTTTTTTCTCAGTAACTGTAACTGATTACAATTATATTTATTTTTTAATTTAATCACGTAACTCTGTTACATGTGACTAGTTACTCCCCAACACACACATGTAAGGTTTAGGCAAGTAAAATTATGTAGGTTAGGTTCAGAAAAACATTCACGATTGGGTGTCGTCGCCTTACGTACTTAACCTAAAAGTTATGTATGTTAGGTTTAGCAAAAGAAACATGGTTGGGCATCACAAAGTGACAACATACCTTAAGATAACTCAAAGTTCACTTGGTTTGGAACACCAGTCTCCTGGGGGAAAGTCCTGTGTTTGTCTGACCCATCAATCACCCCATTGTACCGCCTTATGTGGACCTCTCACTTAAAAACAGTGCATTAGAGGAGCCTGAGCTGATAAGATGGGGCTATGCTTTTTCCCACTGTTCAGTCTAGTCTTTGTGTTAAGTTAAGCTGCAAACTTCATATTTAGCATACAGTCATGAGAGTGATATTAATCTTCTCATCTAGCTCTCGGCAAGACAGCATGTAGTGTATTTCCCAAAATGTTGAATTATTGCTTTAAGATTGTTTTATAACACCATTACACTTGTCAAACTATTTCTTCAAAGGGACAATGCATCTTGAAATAAAATTCATGCCTTCTTTATATGATATTGTAGAACTCACTCCGAGTTGGTTATGGCGGTAACAAATCTTGCAGATGCCTCATTGACAGTAAATGATAAAACAACTGCCAGAAAGCAGCAATATTGATACAAGAACAGACTCACAGATTTGTTAGTGGACAAGCTCTAAAAGGTAGCAGCTGCTTTATTGTCTAAATTCAATGAAATAGCAGAAATTAAATTTTACTTTTGTAGACTTTCCCTTTAAGTGCAGTGAACCAGTTGCTGAATGACTTGGTAACATTGCTGTGAGACCCTCAGCATGAACTAAATTTGTATTATAACACTTTTTGCACCAGGAAATTTCATCCTGCAAATTACTGACATTTTCTGTTTGGTGGCTTTTAAGCTGTGGGGCAAAAGTGAATACATGAAACGAGATGAGGCCGTACTTAAAGTCCCATTTGGTGGCTGGAATAATGATGGTGAGCTGTGGCTAAACCACAACCTGTATGAGCAGTGGTCTAACTGCGTGACAAACGCAGGAAGAAGGCATATTTTTATGATTACAAGAATTTGAATTTAAATGAACACTATGTACCCCTAAGTGTTTTTGCCACATTTTGGAATGAAATTCTTCAGTAGGTTGTTATTTTTGTGGCTGACAGCCTCTCAAGTAAGTAAATTGAAAGAGTGTTTGCCTTGTAGTCAGTGGGCGGTCAACCTTTTCTCAAAGTTTGTAATGAAAATGAGCAGCCCAACTCAAACAAACAGCTTTGTTAAAGTACGCAGCACAGGGATGTGTGAGTGTGTCGATTAAGTTAGGATGAAATGTATGCAGGTGTAGTGTATGGGTGGTTAGCCACGCAGGCACAGCCATCCAGTCAGCAACCAGGAAATGAATAATGAATTACCCATTTAATAAAACACATTTCCAAATGCCACAAGGCATATTTGACTCCCCAAAAAGTTATTGTTAGGTGCCTCGATGAAGCCTCGCAGGTGAATCTGAAACAGATTTTCCAAATTTGCTTTTGTACACACTGTAAATTAGATTTGACAGGGTGCTCGGGCCTTTCAGAGAACTTGGATTGTATTTTAAATCACATTACATGTGTCAGTTGAATTACCCCAAAAATATCAGCACTCACAGTGGAAGCAGTAGTCATGTTTTTGTAAAGAATATTGAAAAGTGCACCTCTCCTTGCTTCATTTTTTAGACAATACAGCCGGCATAGTGGCACGTAGGAGTACGTTTACCCGCAAGGATCGAACCCAGTACTTCCTGCCTGTTGTGGTGACAGACAGCGGCTCTCCAGCTCTCTCCAGCACCAGCACTCTGACCATCAGTGTGTGCAGCTGCAAGCCTGCCGGACATTGTCCCACAGGAGGGGTGGAGGCCCTCGTCCTGTCTATAGGGGTCAGCCTGCAAACCTTGTTAGGGTTTCTGGTCTGCCTTGTAACGCTCACAGGTAAGAAAGCAAAGTCCTACCTTGTATTCAAACCTCGTCTCAGTCCAGAATATTCAACTATGATGGATATAAAGACATACTTTTTTGGAGTTTGGACTGACTTCCTTTGGTTGGGTGGCTTAGCCATCTGGCATCAAAATCATCTCTGTCTGTTTTCAACATAAGAAAATAACAAAAAAATGAAGGCTGAAAGATTAGTTCTTTTAAATGAAAACTGTCTAAATATAAAGTAAAAATATAACTGAATACATCAGTAAAGAGTGCTGTAATGTTGTAGTGTTGTTAAATATGTAAAAACACGGTGTAAAAGAAATAAAAAGCTTTCCAGTTTTCCCTTAAATCACCCCAAAATCAAAAACACATTTATCCGTTTACCTGCACTGCTGTTTATCAGACTACACTGCTTTGTTGTGAGCTGCCAAATGTTGGAGATATCTGCTGTAGAGATGTCTGCCTTCTTTCGAATAAAATGGAACTAAATCGCACACAGCATGAGATGTAAACATGCAAGACTATCCTCCTTCAAAACATGACCACAAGGGGTGTTTTTACATGCAGAAATTGTGACCCATTATTAGGTTTCTTGGTTAGGCTGTGACCCCTGTTGGCTGTTGTAAAGAGAAAGTCGTCCTCTAAGGGTCGGAGGGAGGGAAGGTGGATGGGTCAAACAAGCACCAGACTTTCATCCAGGAGATCTGTGTTTGTGTCTCATGTGGAACCAAAATTCAGTGTTAGTTATTTTAACGACAAACTATGGTATGATGATGTATGTTTATGTGACATGTGTCAAAAGAGATATTTTATGCAACCGTAGTCACAAATGTACCTATTTTAAGCCAAAACATTATATTTTTTTGCAAACCTAACCACATAGCTTTGGTGCAACTGCAACAGTTTCATAACATTAACCCACGTGTTTAAAACTGCGACTGTTAATGGTCATGATATGCTCCTGTGGGTTGTATTCAGAGGTATGAACATATGACTTAAGTGTTCGTATTGTTTGGAGGACCTCTTGAAACATAATGGCATCCCCCTCGGCTGAGCTTTAACGTTAGCTAGCTCAGTGGTGCTAGGTGAGCTAGCAGTAGCTGCACAATTCCTTCTGCGCAATAATACCGTTGGCAGATGTAGTTTGGTAGAAAGAAAATAGTTCCTACATGAAACTGCTCACAACAAGGTCTGTGGATTATCTTGAGTAACTAAGTCATCATTTCTGGAAAGAGACATTGCTGTTGAGTTTTTCAAATGTATTTTTTTGGCGCTTTTAGCAGCACAAGCTGAGTGCCATCTGGTTCCATTATATTGGAGAGAAAGCAGACATCTCTACAGCTGATATCTCCAACACCAAAACAGTGTAGATTGATAAATAGCAGTGCAGGTAAGAGGAAAAATCTTTTTCTTTTTTTTTCTTTTTTTTTTTCAGGGTGAACTGTTCCTTTGACTTCCAATCAGTTGATTTTTCTTCTTCTTCTTCTTCAAACCTGAACCTGACAGGTTTGTTAAAATACAGAATGTTGAAATAGGCTCAAAATGTATAAGTACTAATGTGCTTTCAAAAGAGACGATCCTTCTGTGTGTAATTTTGCATAGCTAGTGCTCCATCCTCCAGACACTTGAGACCTCTGTGATGTCAGGAGCAATTCATAAAAGAAACACAGCAGGCTGATGAGATACAAGCCAGTAAAATTACACTGGGGAGAAAGAATTACAAAGTATCAACAGGAAATCATCCAGAGGTGCTGTTTTGGAGTTTGGCATCTTCACACATATTTCAAACAGCCAATAAAAAGGCTATTGCAGGATTGCAAAAGATCTTGTTCTGCCAATTTTTTTGGCAAGAGATTCTCTAGACCTCAGCGAGATTGACAAGACAGATGTCAAACGAGATTTACTCTTTGAGTGGCATTGTGCAAATGTAGTGTGTTTTGTTTACACAGGAAGAGTGGAGTGTAGTAGAGAGCTGATTATTTTTGCACTGTTGCCTGACAAAAGGTTTCTGTAACGATGTTGACTGACAGAAAACATTGCCAATTTATATAATGACATCTATGATTATTTAATTCAGTCATTAGATATTAAAGTGACCAAGGTTTGAACTCCCAAAAAGTCAGTATAGTCCTTAATTACTCATCATGTGAAACAACGACAATCCCCCTGATATTTTGCTGTTAAAAGTTGTTTTTTTTCCAGCGGATCTGTTGAGCTAGAGCAGCTCCAACTCACATCATTTTGGCAAGTATATAAACGTGTGTTAAACAGCAGGATTTTTCATTAACAAATTTGCACTTTCATTTGAATCCCTTTTTTAAAACTCACCAGCGTGCCTTTAACACACACTTTTAAAATGCTGAAAGCTTGCAGAGCAATGATGTCAGGTAATGAGCATATTGGTTGCAATACATCAGTAGCAATGCCACCCTGGGACATTGATGGGTTTGCATAGTGAAGAGCTTTATTATGACCTCGGCTGCTTTGTGTTCTCCCTGTGCCCATCACATGAAAGATTAATGACAATACCTGCTATGCTAACATTCTGTCGGATGAGCACAATACCCACTGAAAACATGACAGAATAAAATAAACACTCTTTTGGCATTCTGTGCCACATGGAGCAAATAAAAAAACGTCTTCCTTTATGTGTGAGCTGAAATTAAAAAAGATAAGTTATCACCTAATTTGCCCCCGTTTTAATTTTTTGCATCCACAGTAAGTTACAGAAAAACAAATCTGACTGCTATTATTTTTGGTGCACAAGTACAGTGTATGCTCCATCAGGCACCCTAGATGCTTTTTTTCCCACTAAGCTCATGCTCTGGTGTTTAACGGTAATGATCTCCTGTTGTGTTGTGTCTGCAGTGCTGTCAGTTCTAATGCTGATGCTGAGGAGGCACAGGCGGAAGCAGCAGGAGGGACTGGAGGTGGAGGTAAAAGAGCTGGAGCTGCCTGAGACGGTGTCGCAGAAGGTGCTGTATTACGGAGAATCTGGGGGTGGGAGAGCAGACCTAGACTTCTGCCAGCCTGCCGTCCCACTGCGCCACCACCCCAGGAGGAGGGAGAGGAAGCTGCGGAGGGAGGACGTCAGGGCCAGTATAAGGATGTCCCTCAGAGAGTCCCACCTCATCGGGCCGGATGATGAGGTCTTTAGGCAGTTTATTCTGGACAGGCTGGCAGAGGCAGATGATGATCCTTACGTTCCCCCATTTGACTGCCTAAGAACCTATGCATATGAGGGGTCGGGGTCTCCTACAGGGTCCCTGAGCTCACTGGAATCAATCACTATGGAGCAACCTGTTTGTAATCCCAGACCTTACGTGGTTAGACTCACCCCTTGGTATGGGGGAGGAGAGGAAGACACCACCTTCTGAGGGGCTCTTCTTCTTCTTCTCCTTTTTAAATGGCTGTTTTTCCAATGTTTGCATGATGAACCAGTTCAGTGCATTTCCAGTGAATACTTTTCACACAAGACATCAAGATGGAAAACAAATGTTTATTGGAAAGGTTCAACATTTAGAAAATACACTTAATCCCCCTTCTGCCCAGAGTTAGATGAGATGATTGATAGCACTCTCATGCTTGTACAGTAAACATAAAGGTACAGCAGCCTGTTAGCTTAGTTGAGCTTGACATAAAGACTGGGAACAGGGTACAACAGCAAGCCTGACTCTTTTTTTAGACACTTTAGAGGTGCCAGTAGGCTGATTTTCTTATTTCCTTCTTTCTAGCTGTTTCCCCTTTTTTCCGGTGTTTATGCACAGCTAACTAGATCGCGCGGTTCATATTTAGCATACAGACATGAGAGTGGTGTGAGTTTTCTCATGTTACTCTCCGTGAGAAAGCAAAAATCATTTCACAACATGTCAAACTAAAATCAACCCTTTTATAATTTCACATCTTGGGTATATCTGGGCTCATTTGTGTTTGCTGTATTTTCTTTTTTTCTCTGTGTATGTGACCCAATCGCCAGAAAAAATGTTGGCATGGTATGTTTCTGCAAACCATGGATACGTCACATTTTGACACAACAATGTAGCGGATACATTGCAATTTTATGTTTCAATAAAAAGAAAATACCCAATTCAGGGGCACAGTACCGCCTGCAAATGCAGTGATGTCTCTGTAAAAAACATCTGCTCTGTGTGGCACTATCCAAGTTGAAATGCAACAATGGGTCACCTAAAAAAGAACTTGTTTTGTTGTTTGATGGTCCCAAAACAGTGATCTGCAGCTGGGCAGGTGTCTTGCTTAGATGACATGCCATCCACAGTTCCCTCTAACCTCTGATGACAAAGTCAGCTCATAAACTACATTACTTGAGAAATCTTGATATTATTGGTGTGAAATATAGAAATATAATGCACCCTTGGCTTCCAGAAACATACAATGCCAACATTTTCCTCTGGCGACTGGGCTGGTGTATAACTCTTCAAACATGGATCACTTTCATGTTATAGCTACAAAGACATTGAGAGCAGTTACGACTCTGTGTGTGTCTAACACAAATGGAAATGTTAGACCTTGTCTCAGTGGTTTAAACTCAAAGGGCAGAGGGTTTCTCTTAGATATTTATAAGGCTGTTCTGACCAGAAAAATCTAAACCATTGGCCATTTGTATGAATGCTAAAAAACAAACTTCTGTTTTTCCTGACAAGCAGCCTCTTGTGGTTGTGCAAATAACGATGCTCCTTTTTGAGAAGCAAAGGTGAGATTAACATTTAAACATGTTGCGTGTACAAAGAATGTGACTCAAACTCCAGAAACTGCAGTTTGAATCCTTTCTTCTACTTAAAGTCAAAGTTTGTTTGGCTCAACTTCACCCGTGGCCCCTCCCTAACCTTGAAGCTGCATTCATTTATTGGAGCAAGCTGAAGACACACTGTTATCTGAAAAATAAAGTCGTTATGGCAAACGCATTGGTGAACATTTTTACACATCCAGTGGACATAAGAATTGAATGTAGTCATAATCCAATATTTGCTCATCTTCTATCTCCATTCTTGTCTCCACCAACCCCTGAAAAAAGTTATATGGCTTCGTAGCTGGTAGCTGTGGCACTATATTTAGCTATAGGCTTTGTCTGTTGTGTTGTGCTGGGCAGGTAGCACACAGTGGGTTTACTCAGTAGGTAATTTGTTCATTTTTAAGAGGGGAGGACTGACCTGGTTTGTTTTGTTCATTTGATTGGCTGGGTAGCATCACATGAGATGATTTAATATGCCCTTAGAATGGGAACACTCCAATGTCAATTATTCTCAGTAATTTATCGGTTATTTGGGTCCGTACCTGGAGTATGGAGAAAGATGGCAGTTTAATAAGGGGGAATCATTTTGGTCATTTCGCTAACAAAGGGATAGCGTCCCCCTCGTTCTACTGGGTTTTTTTTGTTGTTGCTGAAAACAGCTGCCTGCTGCAGCTGGAAAATAAGCTGTTGTCTTTGCTGGCTGGAAAACCAAAACAAATGCTTTAAGATGAGGGGAAATGCAAATTTGATGACAAGTCTTTGTTGGTTCATCACTACAAGCAACCCCTCAACATTGCACATCAACCTGTTTCTTTTCCCAGATTGTCAAATACAAATGCTTTGTCACACCCTTGGGCGTCTCATTGCGAGGCACAGGACACCCTTTAGCTTATCTATGTGATGCAGAGCTGAAACACATTGTAACGTGATTAATGTTGTGAAACGGTCACGGCTAGTGTTATACAATGGAACTACTTGGTTAGGTTCGGTGAAAAGATCATGTTTTGGGTTAAAATAAGTACATTTGTTAAATAATAGATACAAATAAATTGTGTGACTGACCTCAGTGCTTCACGACCCTAAGTAAATTACATGATGTTACATTTGAACAGCAGTGACTTTTGGTTTCATGAGGGACACAAACTGCTGTCTCCTGGATGAAAGTCTGGCTTTATTTGACTCTTCCATGTAACCCTCCTACCGCCCTATGTGGATTTTCTTGCTCCTAATACTATTCTAGTTGCTCTCAGCGTCAAGTATTGTAGCAAATGGGTTTACACTGGGGTCAGTTGACAGCCCGGTGTGTCTCATTAAGACGCTAAAGGCTGCCTTTAGCATCAATATCACACATCAAGGGGTGTGACAAAGGGTTGTGGGTCACTGCTGGGTCTGAACCCCAAGGGATGGAGAGAGATGGCAATTTGACAAGGCGGGTGCATTTTGGTCATTTTGCTAATAAGAGGGAGTGTTGGCCTTCCTCGTTCCCTCTCAAATTGCCTGCTGGGTCCAGTAGAATTTTTGCTGAAAACAGCTTCCTGCTGCAGCTGGAAAATAGGCTGTTGAGGGCAGTCTGTTGGCTGGAAAACCAAAACAATGACTTTAAAGATGAGGGGAAATGGAAATCTGGTGACAGCTCTGTTGGTTCATCAGTACAAGCGACCCAATCCAACATTTCACATGGTCATTTGATCCATTGTTACTGTTAAATGGCTCATTTTAACCAAACTTTAACTCAAAAAGGTGGCCGATCAGAAATTATACGATTAATTTATGAATCTGTCACATGGGTGGATTTTTATGGGCATTGACAAACAACCTGTTTTGTTGTTAAGGTACTGCGCAACAATGTAAAGCGTGGCCTATAATGTGATCCAGCCATAAGACAGGTTACTGTATGCAAACCTTGACTGTCTCTTGACTGTATGATCTCTTGCTTTCTTTTATTTATAGCAGTGCACTTTGGCAGATGTTTGTAACTCACAATCTTAAGCAGAAAAGCATCTTGGGAGAGGGGGGAATGGGTACATCAGAAAGGTAAAGCACATCATTAAAAGATAAATGCACTGATGTAATGAGCAGGGTGAGAGTATGCAAGGGGAGTCTCTTAAAGAGGGCACCAATGTGATTCATGCTTTTTTTTATTACAGCGTGACATTATTACCCTCATTCTTTAATACCCACAGTATTACTGACCTGTTAAATTTACATTTCTGATACTACCGTATTTGTAATATTATTGACTTCTTATCATGTTTTATGTAACAGTTTTTACTGTACAGTATTTGTATTTTACATTATGAAATCATATAAATTAATGTATACTTCCCTTGGGTTTATGTATGGCAACATTATTTTCTAAATAGAGATTTTGTTTCCTGGTTAGCCTGTTTCTCACAGAAGTGAATTTCACTTACAGAAGAGTATCCATTAAATATGAACTGTTTAACATGTATTATGCTGTATGATATGACTCTCTGCTTTTTGTTGAGTCACGAGAGAGCAGATCACACTACTCGTGTAAGCCAACCGGCAGCGGAGAGCAGAGCGGCATGGGTGACTGGCAGCAAAACTCCAGCAAAGTAAGATTGAGAGACGAGAAAAGAGGCTTGATTTGAAATGTATAAAGAGAGTGAAACTCTTGAGAAACATAACAGCTGGAGTGCAGTGAAAAAGTACATAATATACAGAGTCTCTCCTTTCTTCATGGTCATTTACAGTATCATTGGCAAACACTACGTGATGGTGTTAGTTGTGTGGGTGGCTGCTGGCGGGGTGACTCGAGGTAATTACATGGGACTCAGGTCCAGCCCCCTTCACCTCCTCATACACTAATTGGGCTGTTTGCTGTCTGCGAAGGTCAGCGTTTGGACCAAAGAGAGTATAGTTCTCACTGAAGGAAAAACTGAAGAATTTCATAAACAAACCTATTTGAAAAGTAGTTGAAAAAGCCTCGAGGTAAGAGAGAGTATGTGGGAAACAACTAATTGCTTGAATCTTTTCAGCTTTTCCTTTCCTGCCGTGGTTACTTGTACTGTATGAGTAGGTGCACCACTCAGCGGGAAAATCACTGCAACTCAAAGTGAGCTTCAAATAGCTCCCACTGTTGGAAACAAGCTATCCAGCCAGAGCTTTTTAGACTATATCATTGTCTCACAATGGTTCTAAAGACACAGGTGCTCATAAAAAAAAGGTCTTTTTAAAGTCCTTTCAAACCAATCTCCACAGTCCAACATGTAGGCTATTGGATTTGTCCGATAAAGGCTCTGTTATAATTCCCTTTTCAAAAAGTAATATAATGTCAAAAGTCATTCAGCTCCTGGTGTCGTTTAACCTTCTGAATTTCTGTCATTACCCATGGTGAATATCACGGGTAATTTAACCTAACAGCCCTTTTCTTTGTGTAATTATACCCATTACAGCAATGTGAAGGATTTCGCTCCGTCAACTGTCTCTGTCCTCTGTACAGGTTATAGATTCAGCTCTTCTTTTCAAACCCAGTGCCAAACTCATCACAAAGCACCACAATGCTCACTGGAGGGTCTTTGAGAGAGGGCTCTCATTTGGCAGAGAGTGAGTTGATTGAAAAGATGCCTGAAAGGATTTTGAGATCCATTTGAAAAAAAAAATCATTAGCAACATGTATGCCTCAAGGTTTGGCTGATCAAATCATTCATGTGCAATCTGGTAATGTGAACGTAATTATAGACCATGAAGATTAAGATTTGGACGTGATTCTGAGCGTCACAATAGTGTTAGTGTATGTTCCTAATTGTTTTTATCCAACAAAACCCACTGATAGACAGGGGAATGAATGCTGTGCATGTGGACAGTGGAGTGGTGCAGGGACAATATATATTTGTAGGCCAACCTTGAAGTTAACATCGCTCTGAGTCCCTCGACAAGAATGGCATTTTTCCATTGGATTTTGTATTATTACAGAAAATCAGCAATTCCAGAATTATGATATTTGAAGCTTAAATTGAATCACCAGAAGTGAAAAGCAAATGCTAGGCTATAAACAAACTCAGGCTGTTCTCTCCCATTGTTCGTTTGTATGCCTATGATAAGTAATGCAATATAATTTGTTCATAACCCACATAATCATGAGCCAGTAATCTGTATATAACCCACATTATCTGGAAGGCTGCAATCATGTGACAAGTGTGCTCACAAGAGTAAGGAAATAGTGTAAAGATAGAGTCTCAGCGTCAGGAGGAAGGTTTGGGTGATGGATGGAAACACAGGTCTTTCCCCCTGGAGACTGGTGTTTGTGCCCTGTGGGAAATTAAATGAACTTCAAGGTACGTCATCACAATGTTTCTTTTCCTGAACTTAACCTATGTAACTTTACTCACCTAAACCTAATCTACTTAACTTTACTTTCCTAAACCTAAAAAACTTTACTTTTCCTTAACCTAACCTACGTAACTTAACTTTTCTAAACCTACCCAACTCTGACTTTACTTTCCTAACCTAATCTACTTATCTTTACTTTCCTAAACCTACTCTGCTAAACTTTACTTTCCTAAACCTAATCTACTTTATTTTACTTTCCTAAACCTAACCTAGGTATATTTACCTTCCTTAATCTAACCTACGTGTCATTACTTTCCTAAACCTACTCTGCTAAACTTTACTTTCCTAAACCTAATCTACTTTATTTTACTTCCCTGAACCTAATCTACTTTATTTTATTTTCCTAAACCTAACCTAGGTATATTTACCTTCCTTAATCTAACCTACGTATCTTTACTTTCCTAAACCTAACCTACGTATATTTACCTTCCTTAATCTAACCTACATGTCTTTACTTTCCTAAACCTAACCTACGTATATTTACCTTCCTTAATCTAACCTACATGTCTTTACTTTCCTAAACCTAACCTACGTAATGTGGTGGAAATTTTGTCTTCTTCATGCATATGTTTATATTGTTTGAAGTGTGTGAACTTTGCATTCCCCTTTGTAGACATCTGTCGTTACTTGACATCATCAAGAGATTTACATTCACTATAATCTCTCCTTCAAAGACAGTCCATTGACTGTCTAACAGATACAGACGATGACCTAACATGTTATATACTAGATTGCAACAGGTATGCTCCTCTGATGTAATCAAGAGAACATTATTAAATCAGGAAAGCCCAAGAAAGCTACAATAGATTTCT